TTTTACTTTTAGCTCATTCAGAAACTGTTGTACTTTGATTAAACAGGGTCTTAGCTGTCTTTCACTTGTAGTCCAGTTGGATTACAGTTTTTGAGGTGTGTCAAAATGAACGTGATGGTTCTTTTGTCTGTGGTATATCTTCTCTGAAAATAGGCTAAATGTCAAGGATAAGACAATGCCTTGGAAACAACACTATTCAGCTCACTGCATTTTGGGGGGGCTAGATCAACAGGACAAAGTACACAATTCTACAGTGAGAAAGGAAACGATGCATGGCTTTCCATGCATCGTGTCTACATATACCCCCTTACTCTGATACCCCTAAGTAAAATCCACAGCAACCACTTCCCTTAATTGAGTCAACTTATCAGGATAATGTCACTAAACATGCAGCCAGAGCTACAATAAAATGGTTTAGATCAAAGTATTTTTAAGTATAGAACTGTCCCAGTCCAATCCCAAACCTAAATGCAGTAGAGAATCTGCTATGCTGAAAATGTGTTTTCTTCTCTCTCTCTCTCTCTCTCTCTCTCTCTCTCTCTCTCTCTCTCTCTCTCTCAATCAAGTCTGATTGATCTTGAGCTATTCTAGAAATATAAATGAGAAAGTAATTTCCATCAGTAGGTATGAAAGCAACAACAACAAGCCTTATAAGACTTGCAGCTGTAACTTCAGCAAAGAGAGGCTCTACCAAGTGTTGACTCATACAGATCAATAGCACATTTTTTCTGTTTTTTCTATCACCTTTTCACCATTATAATTATATCACACTGGGTTTTGGGTGTAGATTACAGTAATGTTTGTGACTATAATGTGAAAAGGGCTATAAGGTTTAACGGGAATGTGTGCTTTTGCAAGGTGGCGTACGAACAGCAGCATGTGCTTACATTTATCCAGAACATTTAGCAGTACAGGCAAAATTTAAACGTTTCTTGCATGATTTTCTTTCAGGCTATTCACCAGACAATTCTGGATAACAACTTTGTAATTGTCAGATGCAAAGACCTGGTGTGGAAAAGGCAGGATTCGGAGAGGTTTTACGCTGAACATTCAGGTGTGGACAATATTTAACAATATTATGTCTTTACATAATAGAGTACATTTCTATTTTAGTTTCTCCATACTATTAAAAATAAATCAGTTTTTTATACTAGTAGATACATTACTTTTTATACTACTTTTTATACTAGTAGATACATTACATGGTCTGTGTGCACCTATGTGAATCTTTCTATATTTGACAAATGAAGAAAGATCCACTTTTTTACATTTCAAATTCATAAAAGATAAATGTATTTACATCCTATGTTTCATTCCCAGAGCGATTCTTCTATCAAAGACTTGTCGAATTCATGTCAAGGTAAGTCTAGGCTTGTGAAAATAGTATTTTTTTATTATTTTTATGGATCACCTAATGATTAGCTATGTTTTTATGAATTTACCCCCAGTGGTCCAATGAGAGCTTACGTTTTAGCTCGAGAGGATGCCGTACGTCACTGGAGGGACCTGATGGGACCAACCAAAGTCTTTCAAGCCAGATACACATCCCCTGCCTGCATCAGGGCTCGCTTTGGCCTCACAGACACCAGAAACACGACTCATGGCTCCGGTCAGAAATATTCTGGGCACTCATCATTCTGAATGATTAAAATATTGCAAGTGTTAGATCCTGGAAGTCAAGAAATGAAGAGTTACCATGTCTCCCGTCAGTTGAGCGAAATTTCTCAGGTCCAGTTGTCATAGATTTAGATACAACCAAAAATACAGTATATACACTGCATAAAAAGACAACCATTTTTGTCACTGTCTTACATTAGATTGGACCTTACTGTTTTGGTTTTAGATCAGTAAGGATTACTAGAATCATTTTTATTCATAAGGAATCAAATAGAATAGAAATATCTTTTATTGTCTCAGCGGGGAAATTTGGGTGTCACAGAGGTAAGATGTTAAAACAGCATTTAATTTCCCTCTGGGATCAATAAAGTGTTTTTGAATTTGAAGTTGGAGCATGCATATTCACATAGAGGCAAAGAATACAAAAATACAAATAAAAAGCTGTACACTAAGGAGAAATTTTCGAAATAAGAAAATTAATACTGTACAGTTATTTAAAGTGGCATACTCAGGTTAAAAGAAATGTGCAGCCTGAGACAGACTTCTGTGTGAAACAACGAGAAGCTATTTTTTTTTTCCACAGTTTTTTTTTTGTTTAAACTACTTTATAGCTTAAAAGGATTGAGAAAGAACCTGGTAATACAGCGCTTTATTAAGCCTAAAATCACCTTAATATATTCTTCAGGTACAAGTTTGAATTATTGCAATTCTAAAAACTTGTTTAGTTCACTCAGACATTTTTAAAAATCTAAACGTTTCAAATTATTAGAATATATATATATATATATATATATATATATATATATATATATATATATATATATATATATTTGTAATTTTCTTTTGTTTTTCAGATTCCCCAGAGTCAGCTCAGAGAGAAATCAGTTTCTTCTTCCCAGATTTCAACGTGGAGCAGTGGCTTAAGAAGGAGGAGCCGTTGTTCAGATCAGGACGGATCCAATATGATCAACAAGATCAGATTCACAAACCTTTAACACCAAGCTGACCCTGGAGCAGCTCAGCCCTGCTCCACAGCTTAAACTTGATTGGATGAGATGACAGACTCTGGTTTATAAGCCACATATGAAGAGTATGCCTGATTTATGAAAGTGCCAAGTTGTAATTAAAAAAAAAGGGTTGCTAGGATCACGTCACTGGTAATTTTAAGTCAGCAGGGAGGGGCATTTAATAACAATTTTTTAATGATTATTCTTTGCTTAAGTTGTGAAGATTGTTTTAAGATGTAACTTCCTGACCTGTTGTTTTTACTTGATTTGCAGTACGAAAGATTCAAGGTTTGAATTATTTAACTTTGCACAAACCAAATAAACCACATTTTTATGACTGTGACATTTCAGATGTGTAAAAGCCTCTTTAAAAAGACTAATAGAATCAACCACATCATAGACATATTCCTTTTAAAAAGCACTCTTTTATTTTAGTAGCATTTTTAACTGTAAACATAGCAGAAAAAGACAACTTATGGCAAAAGCATACATTCATATGTCTTCAAAGAGAAATGGGTCTCACTTCTAGTTCCAGAAACAAAGTTGCCAGAAAAAAATTCCCAGGCATTTGAGGATGCAGGCGATGTGCACTAATAAAACAGAACTCAAAAAATCAAGAGGGTGTGTGCAGACACCTTATAATAAACTCAAGTTAGGATAAGGGATAAATTTCGACGTTACTTTAAATTGAACACATGGATTAGCTGGCGCTTCCTGATGAATCTGCCTTGTAGTCCCTCTTTTTCGAGTCCATGTTAATTATTCAGTTTTGAGTTCTTGTATGCCGTTTTGTTTCTTTAACAAGATAAAGCTTATTTACGTTTGTGCTCATTTGCACTTCTCAAACAACTTAATTTATTAAGTATTGATGATACATTTTTGGTAAGAACTTGGACATCATGGATTTTGTTGCTGCATTCTTGCGCTCAGACTTGTAGGGTTGAGTGTTGAACTAAAGAGGTTGGCCTTACATCTGGTGAACAGGGTGTTGTCCCAAGATAGGAGTTAAGATAAGGCTTGTCATCCTGTTCCTGAGATAAGAATTGGATTTCTCCGTGCAATTCAAATCTGGAAAAACTCAATTTTAAGACAAATATGGTCTTTACTTCCAACTCCTCTCGAGTTCAGGATCTTGATGTGGCTCTTTGGAGAAACATTGAATTGTTTATGCATGAGATAAAAATAACGGAAGTTTGTTTTTGTCATATGGTTGAAACTTACTTGGCAGACTTGTCTGCAGTTCTGCATGTCTCTCACTGCATTTTGAAACCTGCTCAATTTGTCCTGGGGAAGGAAATACCCACTTGTCAAAGATCTCTCAGTAGCACACAAGATAAAAAAAAATGCTTTGCCAAAAAAGAAAAAAATGTTATTTTTAATGTACTTTTAGATATTAAATCATTTCTCCACAAGTAAGGTTGCAAAATAACCTCTTAGGTTAACTCACACATTGAAGTGACATCCTCCTGTATGTGCTGACAGCGTAGCATTCTCAGTAAACCAAACTGGACAATACCACTCGTTGGTGGTGAACACTTGATAATCTTCCTCTGGTTCACTCAGAATTCAATCCGATTCCTCAGGAAACGATGTGTCAGGTTCTCCAGTGAACGGATCCTGTTCTTCCTTATGTTCACTTAAAGTCCAATCTAAATCCTCAGGAAACAACGCGCCTTCCTCCGGCTCAGTTAGGCTCTTCACAGTAAAAATCATCGATAGGATGAAGAGGATAAATTGAAGTGGGATCCAGGGAATATGGATAATCAAGAAGATTAACCAATAGAAGAAAACATAGTGCAGCTTTGTGTACCAGCTCCTCACTCTAATTAAGATACTATTCAGCATCATCTCAGTTGTGAACATGCAGACTTGAGCTACACATCACTTTCATTTTCAACAGTTATCACAGAAAAACAAAACGTGACTGAAACAGACACCCACAGGTGAATCAGCCATTTTGTGCATTAACTCATTTGCATGACGTTATAAACAATACATCAAATTTTATGAAACTTTACCTCTTTTACGCGAGTCATAGTTAGCAAAATTGTTTATATATGCTAAATGCCAGAAGGATGCTTTATTTTTTACTTTGTTCTACTTCAATTCACTAGAATTTCCTTAGAAATTTGTATAAATGCCTTTTGATAATTAAGTCCTGGGTCAAACATTTTGTGTTTAATTAGCTTCTCCCAGTAATTTGCTCAAGTTTTAGCCCATAATTCACAGCCTTCATTGTTTCACATTCACAACCATGAAATTTTGTGCTTTGGCAGGGATTTTTTATTTATTTGTTTTTTGTAATAGACCACATAAGGTTGCACAAAATAGTCAAGTAGAAGAAAAATTAAAAACTTGGTTTACAAAATTAGTTTCACCATTTAAGACCTGAATAGTGTGCACTACGTTTGTATTTCCCAATTTAAAGATGGCGAAGGCGATAAAACTGGGATGGAGCTACAGAGACCCACACAGTTCAGGTAGGAGAAATTTCCACCGGACAAGTCTGGCAAGAAAGCTAAAAAAAAAAAATCCTGTTTGCAGTTTGCTGCAGGTCTTAGGTGACACAACTAAGATAGAAGATGCTCTAGTCAGAGGAGACTAAAATCGAATTGTAGAAAAGGTACATTGCACAACACCCTGAACACACCACCTCATGGTGCAACAATGTCCAGGCAGAATAATGTGGTGGGAAATGCTTTCTGTCAGCAGGAACAGGACAGCTGCTCAGCGTTGATGGGAAGATGGATGATAGATGGGCTAAATACAGGACAATGCAGGAAGAAGACCTGTTAGTGACGGCAGAAGACATGTGACGAGTGGAGGTTTACGTGCCATCAGGACAATCCAGCTAAACATAAAACTAGAGAGAGATCAAACCTGTCCATGCCTTGGAGTACCTCAAAATCCAAACATTTTATCGGAACTGTACAAGATCAAATGAATGACAACAAACCAAAAGTCGGTTATTCTTATGTAATAAAACCCCCTTTTTAAAACTTTATTAAAGAGCAGAAGTCATCAGATAAAAAGTGAACACGAATGTGAAAAGCAACACGATGCAGTAAGCTGGGTCATCGTTGTGCCCTATAGAGGGCCATGGAATGTTTACACTTACTTAATGCTCAGCGACATGAACTAAAACAATTTTAAACATTTATTTTTTCAGAAACATCCCAAAAGTGATTTCCGTCCCTTTCTCTTCTGCAACTGTAAAATCATTGAAATCTCCTGTATTTTCATGGTCCAAATGAATACTTTACACGCACGTCTTTCTAAGATGTCAGATTGCGTGAAACGCATAAAAACTGCACGCACAATTATCATCAAACTCTGAATTGAGTCTTGTGTGTCCATCAGACTATCAAAATATCTCCAACAAGGCATGTTTAGTGGATTCACGTGCAATTTCTTTTTACAATCAGATCTTTGCAGGATTCCTTCCAGGGTCTTGCGCTCAGGCTTTTCATGTGGTCACCTGCTTCAGAGTCTCCACTGGTTTCATGACCTCATAAGTCGTAAGCGATTTCTTGACTTTCCCGTTCTTGTCCACCTGGTGGATGCTCTGGGTCACGGTGATGGTCACTTGCTTGGTCGACATTCTGTTGTCCTGCCACTTTGTCTGCAAGATAATGACTTATTAGCGAACACGAAGAGCATACAGAATGCTTTTAAGCTGCTTTCAAAATTCCCTGGATTTTATTTAAACGCTTGAATAATTCCAATCAAATATCAGCGATAGCGTTTTCTCGCGTTTTAAAACTTAACCAGCCGGCCTTACAATTTCTTCAGTGTGTAAAACACTTCTGCGCTGCACCGTGGTGCCTGATGAAGGCGACATCTTGTCCTGCTGCGGAGAGGCCAGCGCAGAGGGTGGGCTGCTGGGCGTCACATCGTTCAGACTGGCCTCTGACACGGCTGAGCAAACCTTCAGGTAGGCCTGAGCGGGAGGAGGGAGGCCATCTTCAAAGAAATCTGGAACTTTATCGAAGAAAATGCATAAATGGGTCACTTGGCAACATTCAATGTTAAACAAAAGATTTGTTTCAAGTCATTAAGTAACTCACACTCTCATAATACTTTGAGGCTGTAATGCGACACTTTTAACAACTTCAAGGTGCGCTCAGTTACATCATAAATTGTTTTTATTAAATGAATGGGTAACACTTTATTTGACGGGTATTGAATAAGACCGTCATGACACCCACATAAACATGACATAACACCTGTCGTGAACATCAATAAGTCTTCATGAATATTTATGACTGTTGTCATAATGCGTCGTTCGGTAAATTA